CCCGCAACAGAACTTGTGCAGCTCTTTATTATGTTTTCTCTTGTCACTTTTTCTTTCCTGAACTAAATTTCTCCGAAAAGTCTATTGACTTCCTTTGCCTTGCTGTAGGCTTGGGAACTAGACAATAACTTAGAATTGTAAAGTAAGAAGTAAGTTTTGAGTAGGCTCCTGGTGGCCAGATACGTGGCTTTTATGTTTGCTTTATTTATTTTAACCGGTTACAAGGCATGGTGCTTGGTTCCTAGTTTCATCTGAACTTTTACTCAAAAGTTACTTGAGTGGGCTGAACTTTTACTCAAAATTTTCCAGTTATGTCTCAGCTACTCATTTCAAACCATTTGGCTGGGTTTTAGGTTCACGAATACTGATGGGGAGTCTGCCTGATGGGTGAGCCACAGATATGAATTGTTCCTCAGTCCTATGGAACACTATGGCCATGATGGCTAAACTCACTGAATGAACTTTAAAAGTTTTTTGTTGTCTTTTGCCAAGAATACGAAATTGGCCTAATGAAAAGTTGTTGGGAGACACTTTCAGATATTTAAATTATAGAGTCATGCGTCAGAGTTGGCTGACTTTTGAGATTCTAAGACCATAGCAAAAGAAGCCATAGCGATTTGGTGGTTTCAGTATTTATGGTCCAGAAGAAAGAAGATAAAGCAAACCTATTAGTTCATTCCTTGTGAAAGAGCAGTTCCAGGCTAGAAGAGAATTTCACTGCTATCCTCAGCCTTCTTCTCACTGTATAACGTACCTTCCAGGTTGTACAAAGCAACGCTACCGGAAGGGCCAATTTGTTTTCCCCAAGGCTATACCGCATGTGGGGAAGGGACAAGGGCAAATGATATTATCAATATGTGGTGGAATCAGTGCAGTCAGGGGAGGAAAGATTAGGAGCAGGAATTATAAAGTCTACTAAACCAGAGTTTAAATCCTTGCTTCCCACTTATTAAGGTATAACTTTGGTCATGGTACGTAATTCTCTATCCCTGAACAATAAAATGAAGGATCTTGGTGTTAGTGATGTGAGAATTAAGTAAGATAATGTAAAAAGCAACTAGGACAGCATCTGGCTTAGGCAAAGAGCTCACTAAATGGTAGCTACTGACAAAAATGATTGTTTTAAAGCTGGAAATTACACTATTTAACGAGTACAGACACTCACTGTGGCTACTTAATGACTGTCAAACAGTATTTGTTTCTGTTTACTTTGACATCTTCTTTTATTAAAGACTGGCTGCCTGACCTTCTGTTGAGGGTATCTCACTCTGGTGCCTTGGTAGTGCCAGGAGATATTCCAGACAGACTGCAATTTCAGCCTTTTACGAGTGGAAAGGAAATGAGGCCATGTGTAAGTGGTACTGAGAAAAGATCAATAAAAAAGGAGTTAATTTTCTAAGGAAAAGACAATGAAACAAGAAGGGCGGGGGCGGGGGGAGTAGGATGCGGTACTGAGGACTGGCACCAGGAAGGAGGGAAGAAAACCTCCAAATACACTGAGGTTTGTTAAAACTCTGAAGACTCACCAAGCGCTATTGTGCTTGGCTGTGCTACCCCACTGGTGCAGTGTCCTCAGCACCTAGGGAGGAGGAAGTGGGGCCTAATGACTGCCACGGGAGACAGACAGTCTGCGGTCCTGAGCTTTACCAGCCTGACTTATTCGGTGACCTTACGGGACTCATCTCCCTATCTTGGGGAAATTCTCCAAACCTCTCACTATTTCCAACTAAAAGGGTCTGATGAGAACCAATCTGATAAAAGGGCATTTTTAGTAGGGTTTACTAACTGCATCCCTTCCACACAAACCAGCTGGTGGCTTTTAGAGTTTTTAAACACGGAATTTTCGTGTGCTTAGGTAGGGCTTGCATTTTCTAATTTACCAGTCCTACTATTTCCAGCTTTTACAGTTGGCTACCTAAGACCTCTGACTCCTGGTTTCAGCGCAACCTTTGGTCTTAATATTGCAAACCACATTGAAATCACTTCATTTACAATTAAATTCTATCTCTTCCCCAATTATATGGAAATACAACTTTTAAAGTTCCATAAAGATGATTTTGCTGGCCTAACTTCTGTTTTGCTCAAAAACATGGTAAAATTTAAACTTGGCTGACCTTCTTCCTAGTTCATATAAGTTGTAAAGCTGTAAACGTTACTTGAAAACACCATTCAAGACCAAGGATCCTTTAGGTGACAATCTACTTTGCTCATAAAACTTTACCTAGGCACGGGTCATTTTCCTTGGAAGAGAAAAGCTGTCTGTAAATAATAATGATCTTAATCTGCCCTTCTGCCATTTCCCAGAGGGGTCCTACAGCACTCCCAAGAAGTCAGGAGTAAATCAGGCTCCCACAGCTAATAACCCAAACAGCACATCACCACAGTAAGTATGCAGATCATCACGAATATTTACATCTAGCAGGGTCCTTTGTGTACAACTCCGACAGACAAACTGTATTTCCAGTAATGGTTTATTGATTTACAAATGCACAGGGGTGCCAAGTCCAAACATCCTGGGATAGCAGTAAATCTCTCTTACAAAATAATTTACAGTGTGAAAATGATATACTGAGACATTAACTCAAAGTGTAATTCCCTTGATAAATTGTGTCCCCTTATTTAGAGTAAAGGGTAGAAAGTAAAGATGACTAAGGAGGGTATGGGACTATGTACAAGCAAACATGTAGAGGACAATGGGTTCGCTGGTTCTACACACTCATGCAGTATGGCCCGTCGCTGTAGAAGGGCTGGTCAGGTACAAAGCTGCTGTGTTCCTAAGGGCCTAGCAAGCCCAGCATAGGCTTTGTGGCTTCGCCCCAGAGGACTCATGTGTCTTCATTCATTTTTTTTTTTTTTTTTTGGTTTTTCTCCGGTACCAGGAACCGAACTCACGACCTTGCGCTTGCCAGGCAGGCGCTTTGCCACTGAGCTAAATCCCCAGCACCATTCATTCATTTTCATTTTCCCTTTTGGCCCTTATTCTTCTGTTTCTGGTTTGCTCAGTCCCAGGTGCTACTGTCTTACCAGGCAGGTCCAGTATCCCACATGATACTGTCTTTCTCAGGAAAGAACAGGTCTTAGGGTTTTGGAAAAGACTGGCAAGTGGGGGGCTTCAGAAACATTGCTGGGTAAAAGCAACACTGTGAGATCTGGAGTCTCTCCTACAGGTTTTCTTTTTCTCTTAGGGCTGAGCTGGATTTGATAAATAATGAGTTTATTTTTTAAACAGAAAAATCTGGATGTGTTCAGCACACAGTAAACATGCCACTGATTTTCTTATTGAGAAACATATCCTGAACAGCCATTATATGAAGGTAGAATTTTAAGGAGGGTATTTTCTAGGTGGTGGGAGAGGACTTCCTAAGCTCTGCCTCTACGACAAGGTTGTGAGTTACACAGCTGTGTTCTCAGGCTCAACCGGAGTGACCAACACGACCCAGGTCACCAAAATGGCTGGGTATGTAAATTTCTCATGTCATTAGACATCTTCGAGGACTGGAGTGCCGTTTCCTTCAAGGCTGTTACCTTGGTTCAGTGCTTTAGGAGCTAACAAGCTCTGCCAGGGAGCAACTCTTCAAGCACATGGGGTCCAATTATCTGGTGGTACTTGTAATCAGGCTGGAAGAAACCTTTGCGGTGATATGCAAGATAATGAGGGGCCGCTTTGAGCTTCTCTTAGTTCTGTGTGTGTGTGTGTCTAGAAAACCACATCACATTTATCATTTACATCTAGGTACAAAGACACACCCCAGGTATCAGCAGGAGAGAAACACACTCACTGGACTTTGAGTTGGCATATCCCTCAGAATCCAGAACTGGTGGCTATGTTTGCTAAAGTATGAAAATTTCCTTTCTGTGGCAATGAAGCAGCAGATATTTAAAAATAAAATTAGAGAGCTGAACGCCTTTCACTTTTACTATTTTTGAAGTTCCATGCTTTTGACACCAAGAGACACCTTATGTATGGGGGATGGCACCAAGAAGGAAAGGCTCCTCCAACTCCAGGGGCAGATGCAAGCAACCGTGTGCACTTCAGGCATCTGCTAGCGCGGAGGAGTAAGGCATCCTCAGTGTCATTGCTCAGCCCAAACTGCAGCCATGAAATGTCTTTAAAGAGTTCAAAAGATGGATGGTCAGACCGCGGTAGGGGAACCTGGAGCCTTTTTCTCCCTCCGTGTTCCTGGTGTACCATCATCTGGACAAATGGCTGCCCACAGAGCAGGGCGAGCTGGGTTCAAAGCTGCCTCCAGTATTTTCTTGCGTGCCACTCTAGACAAGTGACTCTTCCTCTCTGCACCCGTTTTTATCACCTCACAAATGGAGGCAGAAAGCCTGGCCGTAGTTGATCGTCCATACAGGTTATTTCCCTTTCCGGGCTATCAGAGCTAAGACTTCAAGTACTTCTTGGGCCTCTCCTGGACTTAATAATATCAAATCAAAGGACACATCCCTTTCACCATATAAAAGTCCAACATTTGGAAGGCAGCCAGGAATTGCTGAGTACCAGATTCATTCTGGATACATCCATTACCTGCATCCCTTGATGATTTCCCCCAGGGCAGTAATGATGAACCTTTCAGAGCATTCAGTGATAAGAAACAGCTGGCTGTGGCACACTTGGCATACGCTTACCACCACTGCCCTAGGGATTTCTACAAACCCTGCTGCCTGTGGTCAGTCAGGACACAATTCTGAGCGCCGTAACTTTTACTGACCTGGCAGGGGGAAGCTTCATTGCACCGGGGCTTAAGGCCAAGCAGTGAGTTTCAGCTTTGGGGAGAAGCCGGTGCCACTGGAGGAAGCAACCTGGTTCTTACGCTGATAAACGCTGCCAGCAGGAACTGAGGAACCTGGGCAGAAGCTGCTGTGCTGTGCTTAATGCTTCCCTGGTTAAAGTTTTATCAGGTGCTGAAGACAGCAGGAGCCCATAAAGCAAATCTAGGTAAAAGCAAAAGTGCTTTCTTTGGGGATTACAGACACATAATAATTTACCGAGACAGGATGGCACATATTTTTATATTTGTTTATATCTAATGCATAAATGTTTGGATTTTCCAAATACTGATTTGAAGGAAGAGCATGTGATCAGGTATGGAAAGCCAACGATTTGTCCATTGCTAATACAAGGTTACCATCTGAAGATCAAGCAGTCATTACTGGGGAAAGACGATACAAGCTTCCAAATACAAGTCTTTGTAGTCTTCTGATATTTTCAATTCTTTCAAGAGTGACTGCTGGTCCTTCATTTAGGGTAGTTCTGTTGAGTATGGTTGGAGGTTTGAACTTGTGGTATACTAAATTCTCCAGTCTTTGCAGACAGGCAGGTAAAGCACCAAAAGTGTCTTAGCCATTTGTTGGACACCAGTTTGAGAAAGAAACATTTCTTCAACAGCCCAAACAAGGGTAATCCTAACCTAGAAGCATAGATGCTCGGTAGCTTCCTGGCCTCAAAGGAATAAATGACTTCATAGCATGCACAGAGTTAAATAATGATATAAAGAGGACTCCTACAGTAAGCAAGTGTTGTTTCTGCCTCAAAACTATCCTGCATACACGTATTACCAGCTAGCCCTAAGCTTTGTCGTAAGTACACAGATACCAGCAGGCAAGCAGGGAGGCAGGAAAAGAGGGATTTCCTCCAAATCAAGATCCTTGGTTCTGCCTAAGAAGAGCTAGAAGTCTAGGCCCTTGGTTAGCAGTAACCCCAAGGCTTCTTGGATATGGTTCTGATTGTACTCCTCAGAATGAACACAGAAATACGACTAAACACAGAAGAAAGGAAATGCATAGCCCATCTGCAAACAAGAAGTACCTTCCAAGACTCCCATTTTAGCTCAACAGCTCATGTGTATGGATACTGTATTGTTAGATAACTGGTTTTGATTTATATAAAAAGGCTATCCCCTAATTGCAAATGATTTGTTATGAAAACTGATTTTTAGCAAACTGAATGCTTTTGAACTTGCAATTTTGTATGCCCTTAGCATATTGATGCCTCCTTGGGGGTAAAAAGCTTGGCTGTAAGGAACTGTGGTTTGGGAGTGGAGAAAGGCCTGGAAACCAAGCTCTGGCGGGGAGGGGTGTCTGCTCATTTCCTTACGAGGAAAGAGCTAGGGTGTGGGAGCTAATCTGAAGGTCTGTGGGTGAGGACTGTCAAGGGAAGGAGGATTCCCGCTGGAGTGAAAGGAGGGGATAGCTGCTGGGAAAGGAAGCTGAATTCATCCAGCCACAGACTGGCAAGAATTCTCCCACACTAATATAAGCTGTGTCAGGCTAGCCTGGGAGTGAGACTTGCAGAATCTATAGTGACAATTCTCATTTGACAATGTACATTTCAGCCTTCTGTATTATGACAAGCCCATAAAACCTGAAGAGTTCACCCAAATAATTAAAGTTCTGTCAGATCCTTTAGTCACTACTTGGAAGCTCAAGCAATTTGAATTCAGAAATACTGATTTCAACTTTTAATCAGATTCTTTGGTCCATTTCTTTTTTTTTTTCTTCTTCTTCCCCTAAGGTCATTTCCTTTCCACCTCTCTTCCATCATATTTTTCATTTCCACAGCACTGAATTATGAATCTGAAGTCCTGGGTAACTTCAGATACTGAAAATATCTATCATTCCAGCTTTTAACTCTTTCACATTAATCCTGCTCCATGGCACCCACTTTTGCGAAGGCGGACTGGAGCTATGAGAGACTGTCTGCACGGGTCAGTTCAGCCCCAATTAGGCTCTCATTTGTTTCATGCTTCACTATGAACAAGGCAGGGTTTTCGTCTGCATGTAGGCAAAATCTGCCTTCCCTTCCAAATTTTTCCACATTCTTCCTGATGAAGTCACATTGTCGACTTTCCTGAGTAAGTTCGAAGCAGCCATGAGGGCGAACCTGAAGGACCCTTCTTAACTGCTCCCAGCTGATCAGAGATGCTCTTTCTCGACCTACCATGAGAAAATGAGCAGCACACACTCGGTAAGCACACGACTGCTTGTCTCTTGGAGAGAGTTGTGCCTGCTGTGGATCTGGGGACGTATCTAAGGAAGGACAGTGGTTGCTGGGCAGCTTTCACGAAAATCAGAAGCCGTTACACACACGCTGGTACAGACACACAGGGGAAGGGATGGTTTTCCACTGGGGATGCCCAGCCTTCATGTGTCCTCTTCTTCACTGGCACCACTACAAAGGAAAAGGAGAAGCCGGTGAGTTAAGACATCATGGGAAGGGAGGCAGTGTAGTCTAGGGGTTCAGGCATAGGCTCTGTTGTCAGACACGCCCAGAGTCAAGTCCTAATTACTGTGGCTGAGCAGTGTGGGCAAGTGAATTAAGTTTCTCTGAGTTTTGATTTCTGTATCTGACTACAGAGAAAATGATAACAAAGTTTTCTTATGTTACTGGAGAATTAAGTAAGAGGATATATGTAAAATGCAGTACATGGACAGCTATTTAAAGGAATAGGTGACGATCATAAATTTTTTACTTAACAAATAATTTTTGTATCAAAATAATTTTTGTTTCACTCATCATGTGAAAATCTTGAGTCCAGTTTCCTCTAAGCCCTAAGCCATGTATTGTTAGGAGAGAAAAACAGGAAGCCATCAATGCATTTCACACCTGGAATAAAAGCCAGGGTTCCAGCTCATGCTACGGGTCAGTTCCTGTGTTTAAATGCCATCTCTTCAGAAAACGTCTTCTGTCTAAGTAGCACTGCCTGGTTACACTCTGTCTTTCTTCACAGCCCTTACTACATTCTAAACCTTCTTTGCTATTTACTCTCCCTCTACCCAAACTAGAGCAAGTAAGACCAACAGTATGATTTTAACAACTGCTATATATCTAGCAGTAGTACTATGCAGGAAAAATAGAATTACTGAATAAATGGTTGTCTTTAAAAAGGGAGTGAAATAACATCAGAAAGAAGGGGAGGGGGGATAGACAAAGTTGAAAGGAACGGCAAGTCCTTACTGCCCTAACTAGAGAATTCCAGATGTCAATGATGTTTTAGCGGCCAAAAAAATGAGTTGCAGAATCCCAGCAGCATGGCTAGGACCTCAGCTGCTCAGAATTACTGTCTCGTCTGGGCCCTGGGAGAGAACACTGTCCACACAGCGACGGGGCAAAGAGAAGGCCAGAGGAAAAAGGCAGCAGCAGTGAGCACACTCAGAAGGGCCAGTGTAGCAAACTGGCCTAGATTGGCTTCATCTACTTCTACAGAGAGCACTGTCTAAAATATTAGCCACAGGCAACTTGACCAAGTGCTTTTTGTGAGCCAGGGGTTCAGTTTTTCACCCATTCTTTCTATTACTTTTCATACCAATCCTAGGACGTGGGAACTACTATTATCCCCAAGTTCCAAGTGAAGAAAGTGAAGTTCTGGGACATGAAAAATCCTAGGGTCACACAGTAAGGTTTGTGTCCTTAAAGCTCAACGTTTGGTACTGGCTGGAGAAAGTCTAAAGTAGTCAAGCTAGTGCAGAAAGAAAGCCTTGTGGTGCCTCAGCTCCCAGCTATGACCTAGAAACTTTTCATCTCACAAAGGATTATCTATGTCTGCATAAAATCTGCCCTATTTCACATGCATCTGGGAAAGTCCTTAAGGAAAATACCCTAGGCAACAGATTTGCAGTGCATCCATTAAGAGTGAAAACATTTAAGACACATGGCCTACAATTCAGGTAAATGTAACTCTAGAAGTGAAAGGAACCAACTCAGTAAACTTTAGCATCCAGAGCTCCGCCCTAGTTCCCCTCTCTTTTCCTACTGGCTTTCCAATCATGAGATAGAGGGTGCATGTAGGAAGGGCTGGCCAGTGGATTGTCATTACAGCTCTTTTTAGTGGCATCTGTCCCAAAAGGAACAAAGGGTCTCTTATGAAAGCTTCTCACAGAATCAGCACTATATTCGCCCCCTTGGTGTTGCATCTCAAGCAAGCTCTTATTGTTCGCTGGTCAGTTTTACTTTGAGTATGAGAAGGCCAGTAGGGTGACTGTGCCCTTTCTCTATGCTGCAGTTCATTTTTTAGCATTTTTAACTTCAGACACATATTTTAAACGGTTCATGAGCCTACGGAAATTATAGTCTGGTCTGTGTGTTCTGTTGTCTGAGAAAGGCCATAATTTTCATCATAGTCCAAAAGAGGTCAACAGTTCTCACCCCCAATTGAAAATAACAAATTATAAATACATTCTTTTTCAGTTGCTAGGTTTTTTGCTATGAATCTTGAGACTGGCTTGGGGAAAATGTCAGAAGTCCTGACCGATAAAATGTTTTCTCCTTACTCTAAGAGAGACCTGTTACTGGGCCTGAGAGAGAGTTTTTCTCGCAGTTTAAAATATGAGCTCTTGAGATGCTGGCATATCATGAATTGATTCCTTCAACTGTTAAATATTTACAGTCCTACTATATGTTATGCATCACACTAGTCACACAACAATGAGTAAGATGCACATGGCAGCTGCCCTCATGGATGTTATAGCCTAGTAGGAGACAACAGACCAAGGGAGGAAAAGAAAAAATCTTCTTCACAGCAACGCTTTGAAATTTTATTTTTGTAACTTATAACCCATTTTTCACAATAATGAAGGAAAAGGATCCTAACTGAATCCGTGAGAGGGCCTGCTTCGCTCTGCGCATGAGCATTCCTGGAGGGTTACCCAGCAATATCATCAGTGTGAGGCATCCTTCCCTCTCCTTCATCCAGCATAAAGCTAGCCTACGTGCCTAAGATTTCACCTGGAATAGTCCAAAGTAGCCTTCACTTCCCCAAATAAAACAGCACAGCATTCTTCCTCAGTGCTCATCCTCCTCTTCTACATGACACATTTAGATTTATAAGCACAGTGGTATTCAGAGGTTATCTTCTTCTAGGGTTTGTTTATGTATTTCATTTAATTAGGTGTTAGGCTAACAGCCTATTCTATAGAAACACATATGGGAGAGCATCATATGGCTTTGGAGTCACCAGAATGCACTAGGTTCAAATCCTTAGGTGAATCAGTAACCTGTGAATCTCATGGTAAAACTATCTTCCAGTGCTATGAAAGCTGTATGCATTTTGTATAATACAAACAATTTTTAAAATGTTGATCCCCTTCCCTCTTATCCTGGATCTAAACCTGTGTCCTCCTAACTTTCCCTCAGTCCTCCTTGTTCTGGCATCTAAAACACCACATTCCAGAACAAGTATGCTCCTATTCCCAATTTCCTTCAAGTATCTGGGAAGAAACAGTAGTCTGCTTCACTTGCTGGGAGAGGTTTTTTTTTTTTTTTTTTTTTTTTTAAGCCAACTAATGAAATACAGGTATTAGACTGAGTTCTGTGGCTCTTACCCTTCTATGCGGCAGGCAGTGCTCCAAAAAATTCATCCCTTGCTCAATGCTGATGGGGGCAGATACCTAGTAAAGCTTAGTTAACTGGTCTCTGTTTAGTCAGTGACTGATCTAGTTTGAGGGTACTGTTATGCATAAAAGTGGTGGTCTTAAAACTGCAGTCTTATATTTTATGATATATAATAAAATTTCAGGAACTATCTGAGCATGAGTAATCTATATATGTACAGATCCTTAACTTCTATATACAGTATACTCTTTCCTAAAACTAACCTTCTCAAGAGCAAGCCCTTAGTCTATAGGTTCTTTTAAGTTACTCGCATGTTCATAATCACCTGACATCCTCTTCGGAAGGAAACTGCTTACCTGCCATCTTCCTGAATCTTACACACAACCATTTTAGAATGTCTCATTTCTAAGAGTCCTGTGAGAGCAGGGTGAGTCAGTAAAGGAGACAATCCCTTATTTCAACCAGGTTGTTCACTCTTGACAAGGTTGTGCACTTCATCTATCCACTGATCTAAGAACTTAAATTCAGAGGGGAGGGCACTGTCATGAGATGGTGTACTAGTATGTTTATTTGAACTGAAAAAAGAGGAAATCAGGTTTGATATGACAAAACACAAGTCTGACTTGGCTGGATGGTTTGGCCGTAAGAATTGGCTTCGCCAAATAGCTCATGCAGTAATTGTGCCTGTGACTCTGCAGTGCCAAAGTTCTGACGAAAGCATATATAAAAGCTCGTATATTAACTATACAATATGTCAGCAGTCATATTCTTTGCAATCACTTAAACTTGATACATTTTCAGGAAATGACTTTAAAATGTGCAAGAAGGCACTTTTTTTTTTTCTAGATTCTTTTAGGGGACATAAAACCAGAATGTTTACATAAAGGAACTGGAAGCGCTTAAATTCTGACTGGGACGGTGGTATGAAATTGAACACCTCCCCGGCTGGGTGTAGGTGCTAGGGTGACAGAACGGGATTAAGGTGCGCACAATGCTGTGTCCCGGCCTGACGAGGAATCCTTTCTGCCTTGCTGTGGTACCTGCAGCAAGAGTTGTCAGAGGCATGCTACAAACCCCAGTCACTGCCACTAACCAGCTACTGGTAAAGTGATTATGACGGAGAAGAGCTTTCCTCCCTAACCATTTTTTTAGCTAGCGTAGGTTACGGTTTAAATCTAGAATGTCCCCCACAAAGTTTCACGTCTTCAGAGATGGGGCTCTTGGAAAATGACTGGATCATGCGGTGCTCTACTCCTCAGAGCGTTAATCCACTGAGGAGTTCCTAGCTCTGCGCACTGTCAGAAGTTGGGGACCTAGCTGCACGAGGCAGGTCAGTGAGGGGCATGACCTGGAAAAGCATATCTCCTTCCCTGGCACCTCCCTTTTCTCTCTGCTTCCTGGCCACCACGATACAAACACCTTTCCCTCTGCCATGAGCCTCTGCCATCCCATTTCTGCCTTGAAGCGAGTCAACTCTGGACTAACATCATGACTCCAAATAAACCTTTCCTCCTTTAAACTGTGGGCAGGAGGTATTTTATCCCAGAGATAGGAAGGTGACTAAGACAGTCCATACACACAGGCAGCTCAGCTTTTCAACTTTTATCCTCAGAGCTGGAGGACTATAAGAGGAAGTTAATAAATGAAGTGGCATGCGTTCTGAACTCACAAGTCTAACCGTTTCTTTTCCCAAGCAGATAATACCCCCTAATTTGATTTGGCATCACCCGTGTCTGCTGAGTTCTTGGCTATTAATTAATTATTGCTATAATAGGATTACTCAATCCAGGAGGATGGAAAAATTAAGAGGTATTGACAAGGGATAAAGGCTAGATTCAGTT